CCCCAAAACCCCAAAACCCCAAAACCCCAGTGTATTTTTAAGCAGATGAAGTAAAGTATATCTTATTAAAATATGGATTCAGAGGAAAAACTTAGTCATTCCCTACTTATCCCATCTCAAGGTATCCTCATTTCTCAGACTCACTGAGAAATTGGTAGAATTTATTTTTTACAGATGCTGCTAGGATGTTGTCTAAATCGTTCAATTACAGCAAATATTGTAGCGATCGTAACGCTTTAATGAATTGTAACCAAGATCAGAATTCTAACCCTTGTGATAAAAATGGAGGCAACATTTTCACAGAATTTTGCATTTAGTGGCAACTATTCCACCTTATCAAGTCAAACTTTGAATATTGAGAGAGGTTTTCTGTATAATAGAGTCTTTTTCAAGGTCTAGGGAAAGTCAGATTAGTATGGATAATTAACGTCATGCAACAAGACTGTCTTCACAATTAGAAATAAATGGGTTAGATGAAATCTAGTGCACATTTTAAACTTGCTTTAGAGAAACAAGAGCATTTCAATATTCAGGATGGGAAGTTGGAAGACCATGGATTAGTTAAGATGGGCAAAATTCAGACGTTCTTTACTCTTCCCAAAGGGTTCATGGGCACAGGACTTTTATTCATGCCTAATGGGTATAGTAATGCAGGCTGGATGTTTGGAACAGCTTCTATTGTAGCAAGTATGGTGATCACTATGGTCTGTGGCCTCTTGTTGATCCAGGTTGCAGATAAGTACAAAGGTACCTTCTCAGAACTAGGGTTCCTAGCTATGGGTAATCCAGGAAGATATATCTGTGATATCGTTCTAGCTCTATCTCAAGCAGGTTTTGTGACAGTGCATATTGTGTTTATCAGCCAGAACCTCAACAACATATTTGAGTATCATTGGGGATTTACTGTCAACATTTGGGTGATGGGGCTGGTCTTCTTTGTGATATACACTCCGCTTTGCTGGGTCAGGAAGATACAGACACTCGGGAAATATCACACTTTTGGAGATCTGACTGTGCTTCTTGCAGCTGGGATATTGATCATAAAGGCAATAACTTTCTATTTAGAGCAAGATACTTTTGCAGATGATATTAAGCCTTTCAATCCAGATAAATATTTGGTCTTTCTAGGGACAGCAGTATTCATTTTTGAAGGAGTTGGAGTAGTCATTCCAGTGAGAGATGCTTGCAGAGACAAAGAGTGTTTCCCCTTCATTTTCATAACCATGATGCTTTTCTTGAGTTGTGTGCTGATCTTCTTCGGCTTCTTCAACTATGCAGTGTATGGAGATCAACTCCTATCTTCAGCTCCAATGGTGACGAAAGTTTTGAGCAAAGGCGATTTGATAGTAGAAATTGTAATGACCCTCTTTGTATTTAATTTGGTGATTTCGTATCCTCTGGTTATTTACCCCTCAAATGTTATCATTGAAAGCTACTCTATTGACAAAATACCTCCATCCAAAAGTAGATTCTGGCTAAGAAATCTCAGCAGAGCACTGGTAGTCTTCATAACGTTCTTTATTGGAATTTACTTGGAGGACACTTTGGACAGATTATTATCAGTAGTTGGCTCTCTAACCTGCACTCCAGTAGCCTTCATAATGCCAGCAGTGTTTCACTTACAGCTGGTAGCTGAAAGTAAAATTGCAAAGAGAATAGATTACTCCATCATTGTATTAGGATTAACCCTACTGGTGTGAATTACATCATATACAATCATCAGTTGGGTTTAAATATATTAAGTTCAACTACAACATTCTTAGAAGGGGTTTTGGGGTTTTGGGGTTTTGGGG